CCGCAGGCATGCCAGAGGAGCGCGCTACCGCCTGAGCCACATTCCCAGCCCCTTAAAAAATATTTTTAGTTGTAGATGAGCACAATACCTTTATTTTTATATATTTTTAAAATTTTTGGGGCTGGGGATGTGGCTCAAGCGGTAGCGCGCCCGTCTGGCATGCGTGCGGCCTGGGTTCGATCCTCAGCACCACATACCAACAAAGATGTTGTGTCTGCCGAAAACTAAGAAATAAAATATTTAAAAATTCTCTCTCTCTCTCTCTAAAAAAAATAATAATAAATAAATAAATAAATTTTTATGTTGTGTGGAGGATAGAACCCAGCACCTCACACGGGCTAGGCAAGCGCTGTATCATTAAGCCTCAATCTCAGCCTCTTTTATTAATTCGTTTTTATATGGTGCTGAGGATCGAACCCAGTGCCTCACAAATGATAGGCAAGTGCTCTACTACTGAGCTACAACCCTAGTACTTTGTAAACTAAAATGCTATGCAGATATTTAATGGTTTTATATACACAACCTTATTTCTGTAGAATATCATTTAACTGCTTTAGTTACCTTATTCAAAAATGTTCTAAGCTAGTCACTTAGTGTTTCAATGCTTGCTTAGCATGTGTGAGGCCCTTGGTTTTATTTATTTTTATTTTTATTTTTTTGATACCAGGGATTTAACCTAGGGGTACTTAAACACTGAGCCACAGCCACAGACCTTTTTTTTTTTTTTTTTTTTTTTTTTCAGACAGGGTCTTGCTAAGTTACAGAGACTAGCCTCAAACTTGCAATCCTTCTGCCTCAGCCTCCCAAGTCACTGGGATTACAGACATGTGCCAGCATGCCCGTCAAAGCCTTGTATTTTATAAATAAATAAGTCTGAAGATACCAGCCAGTAAATGGATGGAACTGAATACTATCATGGTAATTGAAATAAGTCAATCTCAAAAAAACAAAGTCTGAATGTTTTCTCTGATATGGGGAAGCTAATCCAAAATAGGAAGAGGGATTAAAAAATAGAATAAAGATCAATGGAGTAGATGAAGGGGAATGAAAGGGAGGAGGACAAATGGGATAGGGAAAGAACAGTGGAATGAATCTGACCTAACTTTCCTATGTACATTTATGAATATACCATAGTGAATCTCACCATCATGTATATCCACAAGATACTAATTTTAAAAAAAGTCTACAAATAAGAAAGATCAGTGGTAAAGGGAAAGGAACAGGGGGGTAAAGAGGGGAGGTTAAGGGGAGGTACTGGGGAATGAATTAGAACAAATTATATTCCATGCTTTTATAATTATGTCACAATGAACCCTAATGTTATGTATAAGTAAAAAACCAATAAAATAAAAAATAATAAAAGGGCTTAGTGATAATGTGCCCCTGGGTTTAATCTCTAGTACCTTTGCTGCCCCCCTGCAAAAAAAAAAAAAAAAAGTGGTAAAGATGGTGTGTTTTCTGCAATGTAGGAGACCCAAGTAGAGAGTAGTGACAAAGGGCTGAAAGATAATAATAGTAATGGTGAACATAAACCGGCTTTACAAATGTGAAGTCATTTAAGTCTTGCAGTAATCCTGTTACACAGGAGGAAACTAACTTCAGATTAAGTTCAGATAATAATTTGATTAAGTCATTCATCTAGTGACTGAATACTGGTGGGTTAGTATTCAAAATCAGGCAGTCTGGTTCAAGAGCAAAAACTGAAATATGCTACACTAATTTTGTCTAGATTACTSGCTTTAGAATTCTGCCATCTTCAACATATCTTTGAAAATTAGGATTCTCAACTCTTAGAAACATCTAATGTAAAGAAAAGGGATAACATTTGAGCTGGGGACATAGCTCAGTTGGTAGAGTACTTGTCTCGAATGCACAAGGTCTGGGTTCAATCCCCAGCACCACACATAAACTAAAAAGAAGAGGAAAAGGGGTAACATTTCCATGTTGACAGCTGTTTCAGCTCAGACTATTGGAATCTGCCACCCCGCCTTCCTAACCATATCTAGCTTGTCAGCAAATCCCTATTGCCTGGAAGCTAAACTGGTACTCCCCTAGTAGAGCCCTCTGGATTACAGCAATAATTCACCAGCAGTCTTTCTTGCCCCTCTAAATCTAGAGGTGTAGTCTCCCCAAACAGCCAGAATCAAACTTTATTTTGTGGTACTGGGGATTGAACCCAGCCGTGCAAGATTATTTATTTAGTAACTATTTATTTATGACAGAGTCTCGATAAATTGCAAGATGCTAGCCTCGAATTTGAGATCTCTCTGCTTCGGTCTCTCCGAGTAGCTGGGATTACAGGTTTGCGCCATCATTCCAAAACATAGTCAGATTACATCACTTGGCTGCTCAATTCCTTCAGTGCCTTTTCAATAAGGTCCTTATACCACCCTATTTAAAACTGCAACGCCCCCATCACTCTCCCCATTCTCTCTTATATTTATAGCACTTATCATTGTGCATTATATAATACACTGGACTTTTTTTTTATCTCCTTCCTTTAGAAGATGGGGATTTTTGTTTTGTTACCTGCTGATTACAGCTAACTCCCCCCCCCGCCCCCCGGGGGGCGGGTACTACGGATTGAAATCAAGGGAACTCGACCACTGAGCCATATCTCCAGCATTTTGTATTTTATATAGAGACAGGGTCTCACTGACTTGCTTAGCGCCTTGCTTTTGCTGAGGCTGGCTTTGAATTCGGGATCCTCCTGCCTCAGCCTCTCAAACTGCTGGGATTACTGGCCTACGCCATCGCACCGGTCACAGCTAACTCTCACTCCCTTAGTTACTATACCTAAACTTTCTCCTCATTTCATTTAACCCTCACAACAGCCTTTGTTGTAGTCGATTTTCCATTTTAGAGTAGAGGACCAGAAGCTGTTTCAGTACCGTTGGATTTTGTTTCCCTGAGCCTGTTTCTTCATAACGGGACAGATTTAGTTGTTGATTAGCTTTTAAGAATTTGGCACTCATCTTAACAAGAGATTTCAAGGTTTGGTGTCCATGGCAACCGTGGCGCCAGGACGCGATCGAGCATGAACTAGAAAGCGAGATCAGGTAAAGGTCTAGTCTTCCATAATCATGCACGCCCACCAAATCCTGAATTCCGTATCAGAATGTTGACCTGTCCTTGGTAGCGAAAAAAAATATATCCAAGTTAAAACGGTAATAGGATGATAAAACAGTCATTGAAAACACTCCGCTTTCCGCACCAACAGGAATCACGTGACCAGGGAAGGTGAAGTCCCGGGTTAACTTAGCTTTGGTAGGGGCTGGCTGTGCCCGGGCCTCTTTAACAGCAACACCGCTCACCCCGGAAGTTGGGGAGGAGCTAATAGGCGTCAGGGCCCAGCGAACGGAAGTGGCTGTTGGACGCTTTCAGGTAGCTTTAAATTCCTGCTGTCTTGAACGCTTGTCCCTTTCCACCCGAGTCAGGCTTTGAGCGCCTGATGGCTTTAGACGTGAAGTCTCGAGCAAAGCGCTATGAGAAACTGGACTTCCTTGGGGAGGGACAGGTGAGGCTCTGGGACTGGATTGGGAGGACCCCGAGCGGGGAGCATCGCGGCGCCTCACAGCTTTGCAGGTTTTCTTGTGGAAGCCACAGGACTGGCCTGGCTGCTCGTTCTTCTTGGGTGGGGGCAGGCAGCGCACACTGTCCTGTTGCCCATTGATCCTATCGACATCCTGAAAGTGAACCCTGAGGCGCGGTCCTTCTGAAGAACTGGCTGGAGCGGGACTCGGATTGCCCGACTACATTCCAAGCCGCCGCGAGTCCTTTCAGAACCCTGGGTTCTTTAGTTCCCCAAAGGTAAAAAAAGAAAAAAAAAAAGGCAAACAAACTTAACGTTATTCCCGTTTTTCTTTATAGTTTGCCACGGTTTATAAGGCCAGGGATAAGAACACCAACCAAATAGTCGCCATTAAGAAAGTAAGTTGTCTTTTATGTTGTTTTTTTCCTTCAAGTCTCCTTCAAGGTGTCTGTATTATGAATTGATTGGTGGCCATTTTACTACTCTTGATGGTACTCTGAAAAATCAGAAGTTACTCATGTTATTTCCAGAGAAAATAGCATTAATTAGTGCCTTGTGTTCCAAGGAGGGAACTATGGAGTCGAACCAGTCTTTGTTCCATTAATTTAAATTAAAATGAAACGAAGAGGAAGCTGTATGTTATTTTTGCTGCATGAACTCGGATGTTGACTAAAGGGGCAGGTACTGCCCATCTGTTCAGTCTTCAAAACTTTCTTTTTAGGTCACAGTTATGCCCTATCTGCATCCACATTTTGTGTGCATATTTATAGTTTCTTTGTACAGATTTACATGAAAGGTTTTCAGTAGCATTAACAACACGAATATAGCCAGCTGCAGTGACCCATGTCTTTAATCCCAGAGACTTGGGAGGCTGAGGCAGGAGGATGTAATTTCCACACTAACCTCAGCAACCCTGTCTCAAAATAAAAATAAAGAAGGCTGGGGGTGGCAGCTTAGTGGTTCAATTCCCAGTACCAGAAAACAAACAAAAAACCTAATGTGGTGCATTTTCTAAAAGGACTTAAGCTGCTTTTAAACTTAGATTCATTTAGAAGACTTATTCATAAGTAGCTAACATTTCTGTATGCTGGGCACWTTGACCTACACTTTTTTCACTCACCCCTCCAAACAGCTTGTAAAATAGTTAAAAGAATTCCTATTTTGCACTCAGAAATTGAGACTGAGAAAGGTTAGTTAAGTGACTTGTCAAGAATACAAAGCTAGTAATTGCTGAAGTTAGGATTTGAATTCAGGTGTTCTGATGTGAGCCAGGTTGGTTGCTTTTCCTCATGCTATTGAAATTGATAACACTTTTAAGGAGAGACTGTCTCACCTGTCTCAGGGCCTGGTAGTGGAGTAAGTTACCTCTGTGTGCCTTTGTTCTTATTGCTACTTTGAATTTGTTCTTCAAAAACCCTAACTTCTTTGAAGTGTATCATCAGGCTTTCTTTTCCAGCCTCCCCCACAGTCTTATTTACTTAATACCTGGCTTTCTTTCTTTTTTTATCTTAGTTATTCCTGCCATCCTTATGTTTGTTGTATTATTATTTACTTTTCTGATATCCTTGTTTTCCAGCTTATGTTTTGTGATCCATCATTATGGCCACTCCCTTGCAAAATCCTCAACTCTTCTAACTCCCTTGTCATCTTTCAGTTCTAGTGCTTTGTTCCCCATCTCGGCAACACTGATCTTTCTGTTCCTTGGACCCCTTAAATTCATTTCATTCTCAAGATTCAAGATTATTGCATTTGCTTTGCCTTCTGGTTGTTTCTTTATAGAACTTGATGTGGCTGATTGCTTATTAAGGTTTCACTCAGATGTGTACTCCACATAGAGGCCTTCTGTGTTCATTCCAGATAAAATAGGTATGCATCCTTCCTTCTCTGTTGTCTTTGCATTTGTTCCTTCTCATCTTCATGATATTTATCAAAATTGAAATTCTCTTACCTGACTTTATTGTCTGTTTAATTCCATTCACATTATAGCTAGGACTATGGCAAGCATATTATAGGCAACTCTTTATGGGGCTGGGATTGTGCTTGATGATAGAGCATTGGTGTAGTACGTGTGAGGTGCTGGGTTCAATTCTCAGGCCCTTATAAAATAAAGGTATTGTGTACATCTACAACTTAAAAAAAAGAAAAAGGTATGGAATTAGCTGGGTGTGGTGCTGTGTGTTTATGTTCCTAACACAGGGGAGGTGGAGGTGGAGGCAGAGGCGGAGGCAGGGGGATCACCTGAGACCAGGAGTTTGAGGCTAACCTGTGGAACATGACAAGAGTCTGTCTCAGAAACAAAAAGGATATTGGCTTGACTGGTACTGTTGGCGTATTGAGTTCTGTAGTTTTCTGAAAGTCCAAGTGTGTGTGTGTGTGTGTGTGTGTGTGTTTAAATATCTTTAGTTGTAGATGGACACAATACCTGTATTTTATTTATTTTTATGTGGTGCTGAGGACCAAACTTGGTGCCTAACACATTAGGCAAGTACTCTACCACTGAGCTATAGCCCCAGCCCCCAAATGTTTTCTGTTGCTTGTTTTTAGTGTTAATTAGGACTTAAAATCCAGCCTTTTTCTCTGTGGTAGACTTTTTCCCCCTTAAAGATAGTTTAAATTATATTTAGTTTTTTAATTAAATTATTTATTCTAATTTATTATATATGATGGCAGAATGCAATTCATTTCATATTACACATAGAGCACAATTTTTCAAGTCATTGGGTGTACACAAAGTATTTTCATACCATTTGTGTCTTCATGCATGTACTTATATATTTAGTTTTTATTTTATTTCAAATGATATATTTTTATGGTTTTAAAGTCAGTTAATAGGCCAAGGCTTTTAACATGCCTAACTCCTCTACTCCTGGTTTTCATTCTCAGAGCAACCACTTTCTTTTTATTTTTTATTTTTTTGGTACCAGGGATAGAACTCAAGGGCACTTGACCACTGAGCCACATCCCCAGCTCAAATTTTGTATTTTATTTAGAGATGATCTCAACTGAGTTCCTTAGTGCCTTGCCATTGCTGAGGTTGTCTTTAAACTTGAAATCCTCCTGTCTCAGCCTCCTGAGCTGCTGGGATTACAGGCATGCGTGTCCACTTAAAAAAAATAATATACATAGATTTTTTTTTTTTTGAGTGTTGTATGTGTGTTTTGTTTGTTTCCCCAATTTTAGGCATTATTTTTACTTTCTACTATGAATATGGAGGATTTGGTGGTTTGGACCTTCCTGTTCCAACACTCCTAATTTCTATTCCCATTCTTTTGTTAAAATGCATATTTAAGTTTACAAAAAAAGAAATTATTAAAGAAGCTACTCTTTACCCTTCTTTACCCTTTTACCTAATGGGTCTTGGACTTTTAAAAATCATTGATCTTCCTCATTCTTTTAAAAAAATCATATTGGGGCTAGAAGTATAGCTTAGGGGTAGAACAGTGCTCATTATGCCCTAGTGGGTTCAATCCTCAGAACCAAAAAAAGATCATATTGAATTTGTTTCCCATATTTCCTAATTTAGTCAGTCCCCTAGTGAGCATTTTGGGTCAGTTTTCTTTTTTCAGTATTGGTCCAAAATAGATGTATGTCAGTTCAATATACAATGTTTGCATGCTTTTAAGCTATATATATCATAGACCTACACATATTTATTTAATATATATTCTTTTATAATTGTTTTCTGAATCAATATCATGAAATTTTCTATATTGATATAGATCATGGTTTATTCATACTCATTGATTAGATTCCATTATATGTAACTCTACAGATTTTTTTTTTTTTCTTTGTGGTTCTGGGGAATGAACCCTGGGCACTATACCACTAAGCTATATTCCCAGCCCTATTTTGTATTTGATTTAGAGATAGGTTCTCAACTGAGTTGCTTAGTGCCTCGCTAAGTTGGTGAGGCTGGCTTTGAACTAAACGATCCTCGTGTCTCAGCCTCCCAAGCCACTGGGATTATAGGTATGCACCACCAAGCCTGGCAGTCTTTTTTTTTTTTTTTTTTTTTTTATTTTGAGGCAGAATCTTGCTAAATTGCTGAACCTGGCTTCAAACTTTCTTTTATTTTTAAAAATTTGTTCTTGGGGGATAGTAGAGAATAGGACAGACAGCAGAATACATCAGACACTAGAA